ACTCAATAAAAAGTGAACACTGAATTGGGGTGGTGGTCAGGGAATACCTCTATGTCTTAGACAAGTCCAGTTTGCCTAAAATAATTCATGTGTAGACAAAAATAATATTAATCTTATAAGATTTATTGTAAGAGAGGCTGTATAGGACTGGGATTAAAAATATGACTCTGGAGCATGACTGCCTGAAATCAAACCATGGCTTTGTTACTTTCCCTGCTGCTGTGTGACCTTAGGCAAGTTACTGAGATCTCTCTGCCCCTGTTTTCTCTTCTATATAATGGGTAAAGTAATAATACCTTTCTTATGAGGCTAGCATGAAGATTAAAAAAGGTTGATGTATGTGAAATGCTTAGAATAGTGCCTGGCAAATGCGTTATTATTTATGAAAATAAGTGTGGTGATTGGTAACAGTATACTGAGTTTTCCTAAAGGTGCAGCCTTTAAAATTATCCAACTACTTGTCTATCCAGCACAGCTGGTCTAGCTGTGAGTTCTTATTAGCTTATTCAGTCAAGATACTCAGCATCTGCCTTATGCCAGGCATTGCACTTATGCTTCCACTATCAATGCCTCAATTCCTTTATTAGTGAAAATTAGCTCAACCAGACTCTCATTATTATTAAAGCTTACTGTGTTACATGCCGTACGAAACTATAATTAAATAACTGTCTCCTTGATATTACTCTTAGTTACTTCCCTTTCCATTTTTACATTCATAAAAAAATATTAAAAGAAAAATTTCAAACACAAAAACTGACAGACTAGTATAATGAATCCCATATATCTATCATTAACACATGAGAAGTCTTATTTCACTTATACATCCACTTCAATTACTTGAGAGCAAATTCCAGACATCATTTTGTTTTAACTGATATTTACTATCTATCTCTAAAAAAAAAAAATCACAGTAACATTATACCTAAAATTAATTATTAATAATTACTTGACATTTAAATAATCAGTGCTCAAATTTCCCCAAATGTCACAAATGTTTTTACAGGTTTTTTTTAATCCATCAGATTTGGCAATTAAACAATGTGTCAATAAAATGAAGGTGACCTTAATAACAGTTTCAGTAGAGTAGTAAGGAATGAAAGCCAGATTGCAGAAGGTCACAAAATTAGCAGAAATAAGGAAATGGAGATAATTTGTATATGTTCTTCTGAGAAGCTCAAATATGAGAAAGAATGGAGAAAAACCGGGAGGTGCATGAAGAGTCAGGATCATGGAGGGGTTAATAATGTTTATAAATTGGAGATGAAGCAGCTGGAAAACAGAGAGAATCTAACAAAATACAGTCCTGGAGATGAGATCAAAAGCACAAGCAAAGAGCTGACCTAGAGTAAGGGAGGTGTAACCCAAACTCTGACACTGAAGAGAAGAAGGTAGTTAAGCATAAGCATGGGACCGGGAGTGTGTGGCAGGAAGGGGTGGAAGGTAGAGGGTTGGAGATAAGGGGGTAATGAGGTTAACACTTAAAATGTTCTCAGTTTTCTTAAGAATTAGGAGAAATCATTGAGTAAAAGTAGGGTATTGGAAACGACTACATAGGGCGTCTGGATAGAATGCTGAAAATCTATTGCAATTTAAGGAGAATGAAAGGGACAAATGACTAGACAGGTGAAAGAATTAATCAGTATTGAAATCTCATATAGCTTTCAAAAACAATTTCAAAAGTCAGTCCTTCCGTGAAGCTTCTCTTAATTTCCTTAACAAAGGATAATTTTCCCTCAGTGAGAATTTTGTTTTTATTTTTCATAATGGTTTAGTTCACTGTAATAATATATGCAGTTCTCTTTTTCCCAGTAGCTAGACCATAAGCATTTTGTGGGTGTTTATCTGTGTCATGGGGCCAAAGACAGTACTGTACCTTTTAAAAAGTAGCACAATTAAATACTAAAGGAGTAAAGCAGACATAACTACTTGAAGAGCTGGGAGGAACACTGAAAGCTGGGACAATTATATAAGTCCTCACTGGGAACACAGAACTGAGCTGGGTCTTACAAGGGGTGAGAAGGCACGTCAGGATTTAACTCAAACAAGGAAGTATAAACACTGAAGTGCCTCCAGGATTGGTTTTAACATTCTTATATATAATGGTAGCTGTTTAGAAATTAACACTAAGCTCTTCCCATAACGAAGAGGTTTGTAGATAAGGAAAAATATTACAATGTGTGGGTGGGAGGAAAAAGGGGTGGTTTTAACGTGAACAAGTTCATTTTGGGGAAATTAACTTAAATCATGTATAAAATATATAAAAGTACACTCTATTCTAGTGAACCAAGTAGGGAACAAAAAAAAGAGCTATACACTGGATAACAGAGTAAGTCAGGTAGATTCACTGCTGGCTGAACATTCACTGACAAGTACAAACCTTTCCTGACAAGGTTCGACAGTTTCACCAACGCTCAGATGAGGTCATAAGAAAGAAGACCAAGTTCTGAGGATAAAACTGAAAGAAAGAGCTTTAACAGTGTATGACATTTATTTCAAATACCACACTTAAAAAAAAAAACTTGGCTTTTGCCATCTGAACGTGCAGCAGGCCATCCATCTTGCCTTTTGCACTAATATATTTTTTCTCTGCAACCAGTAAAGGAAGAGAAAAGAACCTGAGAAATACTTAGGATCTCTGTTCCTTGACCAAGAAACAAAAACTGATTTCCTAGTACCTCATTCCTATCAGGGTGGTACCCAAATCTCACCTCCATTTGCAAACTGAAGCCTAGCTAATTAGACTTCCAAACCACCTTCTTAGCCACTAGCAACTGGAAGAATAACTGTCACATGCTCAAAATGAACAGCAAGTGGCAAGTTACAATTTTTAGCAAACCCTTTCGATTCTAAAGAAACTATAATACTGATACATTAACTCTGCCAGAGACAAGAATTCTAGATTTAGATAACACCCAGAGCACTAGCCTGTAATAACTCTACCTTGACCATATTTCAGATAGGCTAGGCAGTGACAGAAGTGATAGTTCTCAAATCCAGAAGACTACAGTCTATTACAGGGTTCCAGCAAACTTGTTCTGTAGGAGGCCAGAGAATAAATATTTTAGGCTTAATGAACCATACAGACTCTGTTGCAACTACTTAACTCTGCCACTGTAGCATAAAAACAGCCATATATAAACAAGTAGGTATGACTGTGTTCCAATAAAACTTTATTAACAAAACTGTGGATAGGCAGTAGTTTACCAACCACTCTGTATACCAACCAGGCCTGGTATACAGAGTCATAATTTGGTTTGGTTTTGGTCAATTCTAACAATATAATGTATGCAACATTTTATCTTCATGTTAATATAGAAATATACACTGGCATATGATCATAATTATGTAAGAAATTCATAAAGGAAAGCCTGAGAAGAAACAGTAAAATAAAATGTGCATAGTAGTTCAGATGGCAGAACTATGGGTAACTGAGTATCACCATTTTAAAAAACGATAAAAATTACAAAATGGAAGATAAAATGGATTAATAAAAACAACTAGTTTCAGCTTATGGTAGCTGCTACAAGGAAATAAACAGGGTACTACTACCCACGATAGATTCTGAGGACAGGCAAGATAGAAAACATCTCCAAAGAGGTGACATTTATGCTGAGAGTTAAAAGACAATGAAGTCAGTTAAGAACTTGATACAACTCTTTGAGGAAGACAAGGTCGCAGTTGCAGCAGAGCTCCGTTCCACCCCCTCCTACTCCTGATTCACCGCTGTGTGCTCTCACAGAAGGAGTAAGTCCATCAAGAATCCAAGCTGCAGTCATGGATGGCTTTAAAGATACCCAAAGGACACCCAATGGAACCAGAGGTGGTGATTCACCAAATTAGAATTACTCTAACCAGCTGCAATGGAGTCTTTGGAGAAGATGTGTGCTGGCTTGATCACAGGCACAAAGGAAAAGCATCTCAAAGTGAAAAGATCAGTTTGGATGCTTACCAACACTCTAAGAATCATAGTAAGAAAAACTCCCTGTAAGAAGGGTTCTAAGACTTGGGATCCATTTCAGGTGAGGGTCCACAACTGACTCATTGACTTGCGCAGTCCCTCTGAGATTGTTAGAGGTTGTCAAACAGAATACTTCCAACAGTATTAAGCCAGGAGTTGAGGTTGAAGTCGCCACTGCAGATGCTTAAATCAACCTTTTAAATAATCAATTGTTTAAAAAAAAAAAACAAAACAACTTGATATAAGACCATTCTACCTAGAGCTCAGAAGCAAACAAAGGTGTTGGCAAGAATGGAAGAAATTGACAAGCATTTTGGAAAAAGAAAGTAAACTAATGAAACACATCAAACAACAAGGAAAGTGGTCTTAATGAGAAAAAACGGAAGAGGAACCTCACTACAAGGTAAGGGGTCTCCCAACAAGGCAGGACCAGCTCCATCAAACAGGGATGGAAAGGGCAAGGAAGGTTCAGAATGATTTGGGAGTTCTGTGACCTCCTAATGACCTCTAAATCTACCAAATGTCCCCATTCCACTTCTCAGGATCTCCTCTCCTATCAATGCCCTTCCACACAGAAAACCTTTTGGTCCTCTGACAGATCCTTGAATCAAAAATATCTAAGATTGTCATGTTCTGTTTTTACATTCTCCAATATAGTCAGAAATAACCAGCCCACCCACACTTCTCAAAATCCTCATTCTCCCCAGAAAGATTTTCTGCAATAGTTAGTTGGCCTACCAAAGTTTTGCCTTCAGTAAGTACTTTATTTTATGTAAACACAAGATAAATAAGTTAACTGTTGGGTTAAACCACTGAAATTTGAGGTTTGATTTGTAACTATAGCATACTTGCAGATACTAATAATGAAAAAAGTCTGTAAAAAATATTTCTCTATTCTGATTAGTTAAAACTATGAATTCACTACCCATTTTAAATAATCATGGGCTAACATTGTTATATAGACACATACAAGTGTATGATATATATACACATATAAAGATATGTAAATATAAGTTCTTAATAACAAGAATATTTGACTTACAGTGTGAGCACATTTCCAAAGGATAACTTGCCTCATTTCCCTGAAGAAGAAAAAAAAGTTGTTAGTTACAAAATTAGTACAAATTTTTAAAAGGTAAACTTAAGTATGGATGTATATTGTCAAGATCTTACACTATGAGAAAAACATTATATTATTTAAAAGCAGAGTTTAAGGGGCTGGATTTTGAGTCAATCACTAATGGAAATGATTCAACCAATCAACCCCTAAGTAATAAAGCCTCCATAAAAACCCAAAAGGGCAGGGTTCTGAGAGTTTCCAGGTTGGTGAACACGTGAAGATGCAGGGAGAGGAGTGTCTAGAGAGGACATGGAAGTTCCTCACCCCCTCATTTGTACCTTGCTCTATATGTTTCTTCCATCTGGTTGTTCCTGAGTTAGCTCCTTTAAAATAAATCAGTGATCTAGTAAGTAAAATGTTTCTCTGAGCTGTGTTAGTTAATCTAGTAAATTAATCAAACCCAAGAAGAGGTCCTTGAAACCTCTAATCTATAACCAGTTGAACAACTAGAACCCCAGGTAACAACCCAGACTTGCAACTGACATCTGAAGAGGAGAAAGGGGGGCAGTATTACAGGACTGATCCCTTAACTTGTGGAATCTGGTGCTATCTCCAGCAGAGTGTCAGGACTGAGTTAAATTGCAGGACATTTAATTGGTGTGTCAGAATTGTGTGTGTGGGGGGGGAAAACCACCACCACACACACACACACACACACACACACACCCCTCTCTCTCTCTCTCACACACACACAC